TTTACTTACTTACGTTACTTACTATTCTATACTAGTTATAATAATATATACTATACTATATATATATATATATATATATATATATATATATATATATATATATATATATACACATATACATATACATATATATTTTTTGCATTTTTAATCGTGTTCAACTCCCTCTGACTTTACTTTTATCCCAATTTCGTTTCCCAAGTTTCCCTGTTTTTACAGTTTTCTATAGATAACTGAATATCTTGATAATTTGCAGTAATCCGATCCAATGAATCGAGGATTAATTCAATTTCTGTGTTCTTGTGTTTCCTTTCCATTTCTTTGTGTCTACTTTTGCGCATTCAATTTCTGTGTTCTTGTGTTTCCTTCCCATTTCTTTGTGTCTACTTTTGCGCATTCAATTTCTGTGTTCTTGTGTTTCCTTCCCATTTCTTTGTGTCTACTTTTGCGCATTGACGAGATACTGTTGAGAGCTTCTACATTGCATTCCAATATTAGTCCCAGTGGATTCTATTGACTACCTTTCTTTTAGAGGTTTTCGCAATCGTTTCGTGCATAATTTGTCTTCATCTTCTGTAGATTTGGAATAGAATGTATTACTAAACAACAGCAATCTTTCTAGTTGATTCTGTTGATTACAGTGTTGTGTGTTTTTCCTACTCATTTGATAAGTTTGCTGGTTTTGATAATAAATTGACTCCTGGTAAATTGTCCCGAATTGTTGTATGAAACTGTCATATTATCATTGTCTTGGGCATTCAATCCTATGTATGTAATGATAAATATCAACATCTTTTGATAAAAATTTTGTAGGAGAGGGAATCTCATTGTTTGAGGCCTCATGGGGATTCTACAGAAAAATAAAAAAAGTTTCTCATATTTTGTTTTAGCAATGGAGTCTCATAATCCTATCATAGTAAAAATTTCTTATGTTGGAAGAAGTGTTGAGGATATTCATTGTGCAGATTTTAGTAACTTGAGTACTCCAATGCCTTTAATGTGATCTGGGGATTTGTTCTTTGTTTTAAAGACGTGTATCCTTGGAAAATGGATATTCATGCAAACAAATCTATCCTTATTTAAGAGTTCCAGGGATTTGATGATTGTTGGCCAGTTTGAAGGTTAAATAGTTTGTCTGATTATTGTCAAATATACAAACCCCAGCACGCCCCAAACCAAAAAAAAGCTCCTGCCACTTCAGTGGAATAGCTTGATGAGGCCTCCTTGGGGTGTGGCATACTCATTGGCTTCTTAATAATTATATTATTTTTATTTCATTGCCGTTTAGATGGAATTTTCTGGGAAAATGATTACCCCTCTTGTATCTTTACCCTGTCTAATGTAGTTTAAGTTATCTATATTGGCATAGGAGGCATAATTGAAGACGTGGATAGATTTGTGATTGCTATTCTTATCTATATCATTGTGAGCTTTTTGTGCACACTATGATGTAGAACCTATGTAATCGGACCCCGTAGAAGTGTATAGACCTTTGGTATGCTTGTATCGAGATAAAAGAGGTGAAATTAGTGCTAAGTTTGAAGTCCTAATCGAATTGTGTTTCATCTATATACATGCCAAAGTCCTAGTCTTTGCAAAGTCTTATCATACCCATTTTTGAACTTCTAAAACAATCAAAAAAACTTTCTATTCAACTGGAAGATATTTGGAAGTGTCCTAATAATGGAAGATATTTGTAAGTGTCCTAATAATGGAAGATATTTGTAAGTGTCCTAATAATGGAAGATATTTGTAAGTGTCCTAATAATGGAAGATATTTGTAAGTGTCCTAATAAAAAAAGCTTTCTATTCAACTGGAAGATATTTGTAAGTGTCCTAATCAATTTAGGAAAGAACTTTGGTTTCTAGAGGCACCATCTCTATATCCATCACAACTAGGAAGTGATTAAATAAAGACACACTGCAATGCAGGAAACCATTCAAAAAATAAAAAGGAAACAAATCACAGTTAACATTATTAAAAATAAATAAATAAAAAGGAAACAAATCTTAACCTAATTGCACAGTTGTCCACCTACACTCGGAGGTCCTCCTGTGGACCCATGCTTCATACAGAATCTCTGTAGGATTCATTTGGGATGCTTTGTGGGACCACTTTGGCATGCCATCTTTTGGCTGCCTTGGGTGCTCTGTCATCATATTATCTCTCTGATTTTGTAATTTGTATTATGCAAATCCGATACATGACCGTTAATTGCTTTTGTGAGGCAAATTTTAAGCCATGTAAATTTGACACCTTTGCAAGCAAGAGGTATATAGGTTACTATTTGTCTAGTGCTGCATTTGTATATGTTGCATCAGTGTTTTTAGACAAGGAATTGGTTTGGACTCACCAGGGTCCCGAGGCCGAGTTAGCCACCGAATTGGCGGAGTTTAAGGTCCAACTGAGCCTATTGTTTGGGAAAATAACAAAGGAGGACTTGACACTTCGGAGACTTGCCCGAGTTTTGTGATTTTTCTCTTGATTCGCCAGGTCCCAATGAGTGCCTTCTCAGGAGAGTCCTAAGTTGGCGCAACCTTTTTTTAATCACTGTGTTGCATCTTATAAAATTAGTGATAAAAAAACATGAAACCAAGAGTATGGTTCTGGCATGAAGTAAAGATAAATAGCATTGTTAATATGATTTATGTTGAAAATTAACATGATACTGTAACAAGTGCAGTCATCAGCCCTGAAATGTAAGGTGTCATATAAAGGGAACCAAATAAAAATAATAATAGAATATTTTGAGTAAAAATGACCAACATACCGCTGAATGACAATAAATATTAATTTTAAATAAAAATATAAAGAAATTGAAAATTGAAATTGTTTTGTAGCCCTTAGGTGAGGCTAGGTTCAATATGAACCGTTGAAGGGTACTTGTGCACCCTTCTAGCATCCAGATACTGTGGACAGTATACCACCCCTTGAAAAAATTATATAAAAAGTAGGAAATTAATGATATATATTGTTGTGAGCTACTGCAGCAAAAGACTTTACATAAAGCGCACGCAACTCATGACGGTCTATGTATTTTCTCAATCTCTTCATTGTTTTTATTAGGCATATTCGATGGCTTGACCTATCATATGAATATCCATGTGGTTGAGGTTTTTCTTTCTCAAACAAATTCATGATGTTATTGTCATTTTTTCATTTACAACTGCAGGATAAAGGTGGGCCACTGCCAAAATTTGGTGAATGGAATGTTAATGATCCGGCTTCAGCTGAGAGGTTCACAGTGATATTCAACAAGGCCAGGGATGAGAAGAAGACAGGTGGCAACCCTCGTGGCCCTGAGTCCCCAGGCAAGGAGCATGGATCTTTTGCCAAGTCCAATTCTGTAAGCTTCTCATTTCACAGGATGAACACTCATAGAGTAATGATTGATATTGTTCTGGAGAGACCATGATCAAGAATTTGGAGATAAATACCTGTGTCATCAATTATAAAATAACAACTTTCGGGTGGGGTAGTATTCATGGCTTGTCTAGGCCAGGTTTGATATACTATTGGAAACCTGACGTGCTTTAGTTAAAAATAATGGCAAACGGTACAAGAGTATTGAGTTGGTAATTTGCTTTTAATAGTTGGGTAACAGAATAGCATTGACCATGGAGCTTCGGCTGAAAACCATGGGAGAGATGGGAGTAATTGAAAGAAATGGAAGTGTTGTCTGTCATTTGTCAAGGGAAGATGGGTAACTATTTGGCAGAACAGGAGTCTCTTGCTTAAAAACACAAGGAAAATCATAATCCATGGAAAAAATATATATTTTGCCTTCCCTCTTCTTTTCTTTTGGGAAGTCAATCTTTCTCGGAGAAAGGAAAGAAAAAAAGAAAAAAACAGTAGAGAACCTTTACTTTTGGTGTTCTAATTGTTGAAATGTGCATGAACTCAAGACACAAGGAGGACAGACTGGGCATGATGTGAATGTCGTCCTTGGAAGGACTTTAACCAAATGAACTGTGATTTCTTGGCCCATCTCTGACCGGATCCGGTCACTGGGGAGATATTCCTTTCCCAGTAATTGAATGAGAAGCTTTTGCCACAAGAACCACTCTCTCTCTCTCTCGCACATAGGTAGGGGGGGTCACTTTGGTCTGAAGTGACTTAGTAAAATCCTAGTTTACTTGTGTTTTCATGACATGGATTAGGTTTACTTAGCGCTTCAGAGTATTTAGAACATGGGTTAGGTCTACTTGGAGCTCCAGAAGATTTGGAGACTTCCTTTGGCAAGAAAAAATAACTGTACCCTCAAGTTTCACCTGGTCAAGTGGAAACTATGTTTACTCACCACGATGTAGTTCTTGTTTCCAGAAAAGTAAAAAATTAGTCTTGGGTAGTTTAGGGGTGAAGAGCATCTGTAAGGACCAATAGAGCTGTGTTTGACAAGCTAGAATAGAGATCTAGATCTAAGAATGGACAAGAATTGTTTTTGGTCAGGAGTGGTCGTGCATTAAGGAAAGAGTCCAAAGGTATGTGTAAGGTTTTGTGGAAGCAAGCATTCTATCGTAGTGTTCTAAATGTCACTGCGTGTGTGTGTTTGAGAGAGAGAGAGAGATCCACCTTAGTAGGCACTTTATCAACAAAGTGGCAGAGTCCCTGGCCATATATGCGCTCAGTTCCCTAGTAGACTTGTATTTCTATCCTGCAAGATTCATCTCTCTCTCTCTCTCTTTCTCTTTCTCTCTCTCTCTCTCTCTCATCACGTGCAGTGTGCTGCTGTTGTACACAAGCTTCCCACAGAAGCAGAAATTCAAATTCACACCCTCAGGCAAGTGACCCATTTAAAATGGTTTTCTTGATCTAAAATTTTGGGATCTATTTTGAGAATGGGGTTGGGGTCATGGTGATAGCACCACCCTAGTTAAAGTCTAGGCTTCCATTCTCACCTAACGCATTCAAAAAAATTTTTGGATCTATTTCAGTGATCTAATAGCACTAGATGAGTCCTTAAGATAAAAAAACAGAAGGATTTAAATACCCATCTATGGTTTTTCTTGTTGAAGTGAATATGTATTTTGCTCCTGCTAGACCATGTAAACTTTTTGGATAGGTAATTTGTAATTCACAATGCATGACATCTGAATGATACTAACATGTTCGTGTTGCCTGTGCAGAAGAAATGGTTTTGTTGCTTGCAACCCCACAAGGTGGAGTCGTGAAAAGGAGGATGATCTCACTTCTATCCGCACTTGTTTTTTGAGTCTTTGATGTGAATGCCCTTCCTTTACAAAATTTGACTCTTGTTGGTTTGCTGTGTTTCTCTTTCTACTTTCTCTCTCTCCCCCCCCTGTGGCTGCTTTTGTAATATATATTTATCATAGTGTATGATTGTCGTGGTGATAACAGACTTCAACTCGTAAGAATCACAGGAATCTTTCCTTTTTGGTGTTCTTTTTTTGCTCAGGGGAAAGAAGAAAAAGGAAAAAGAATATATAAATTATGTTTATTGTAAGAGCCCTGGATTCTTTCCATTACATTCTTCGAGTCATGCTCCTCTCTCAACTTTTTCATTGTATTCTGTGAGTGGTGCAGAGCGCGCACACACTTTCTCACTCATCCCTTTGTGTTTTAAAAGTTGGAACTTGGCTCGCACTTGGGTTCCATCTCCTTGTCTAATTCAGGAAGTTCAAAGTGGATTAAGTTAAAATAGTGAGAGAAGTTTATAAGACATGAACTATTTAACATTCTACTTATATATTTTTTATTTAATTTCAAAATACCCCATCAAAGAGACATCATGCGTAAGAATTGTGTGCTTGCGTGTGCCCAGATGAGAGATAGCAGCAAATGCAAATCAGATCTCATGCAGTGTCAGAGAGAGGAACGGGTGGTGTGTTTGAGTTGGGCAAAAAATGGCTTTGGAAGTTGGATCTTGCAAGGAAGTGGAACCAGTGGTTTTTATGGCCCCCATGGAAGCTGCCACTTTCACTTTTCAGCATCATTTCTAATGCGGGCGGAAAGGAAGCTGTGGCTTCTAAAACTTGTGCAGCTCTTCCCCTTATCAAGTGGGAAATTATTATAGTATCTAGAAGTGATGATTGAGGAAGCTGTAGCTTCCAGAAATCAATTGCACCAGGAATATTTGTGCCTCTGTATGTGGGAAAGAATTTTTCTCCCATTTGCCAATCTTAGACAAGCAAGACCTATGTCTTATTTCTTCCAATATCGCATCGTCTTCCTCACTATCAATCAACTCATCTTGGATCTTTCACTAAACTTGTTGGAAGTAGGATGGAAGGAAGCTTTTCCTTTGGTTCCCTAGAAATAGGTATCTGGGAGACTCATTTCTATGAAAACTAGGCATTTCCGTAGTTTGGATGCAATCTAGGATGGGATTTTAGTGTTCATGTGTATATCTATATCCACATTTTGATACTAAAATATGGAGATGAGCATTCTACCAAAATAATAATATAATAATTAATATATATTAATGTATTTATAATAATTACTATATTAATTATTATAATATGTATAATTAATTAATATGTTATAATACAGGTGTGATATTATAATATATAATATAAATTTATATTATAATAAAATAATATTATATAAGTATTATAAACAATGAGACTATTTACTTTTGATGTAGGGAGGTCACAATTGTTTACAACCACCCGATGTAAAATATGATAGCTTGAGTGTGTCACTTTGAAAAAATTTCTTTTGAACTTTGAGCTTGGTCAATGAAATAAATGTAGCCACTTAATTTCACATTTAATGGTCAAAAATTAATTGTGACCACCTTGTACCAAAGGTCAATTGTCTCATTACATACTTTCACTATTATATAATAATATTATTGTAATACAATAATATTAATACAATTAAAATAGTAGACAAACATCTTTCCGATCTCTTATTGAATGCTACCTAGTAGACACCTATATTTCAGGGGATGCGAATTCTATGATAGACACTCCCTTGTGGTATTGTATTGGTAATATTATTATAAGGGTGCGGTTTTCATAAGGATGTAACCTTAAACAACCCATTTACGGCGCACCTTCAAACTTTATCATAGCATATAATTTTGATGTAAGATATTCTTATGATTATCTCAAAATATATTTTTAAATCTAAATATAAAATTTTAAGCTCCAAAAATGATTAAAATCAAGTAGATCTATACACACATAAAAATTTTGAAAATGGACGATCTAGATAATATGTTGCAAGATGCACAATTTTTGAGACTCAAAATCCTTTTTTTTTCATAATCATACATCTCGATGTCGAGACGATCATTTAGAAGGTTTTTCAACATTAAAACAACATTTACCGATGGATTTTTAGTTACATCTGTAGTTCTACATTTTAAGGTTTCAACCTTATATAAACCTTTCCCTTATTATAATGCAATGGTATTATTACATCTAAACAACAATAGACCTGCATCTTGCATCTTCTAAGTCTCTTATCCGATGCTATACAAACAACAAGCACATATCCTAAGGAATCAAAGGGGCCCCAATTACAAACATAGTAGGCCCAATTTTATTTCTCACATTGCATAAACAAAGTACATGCATTTAAACCATGGACCTCTGTAGTCTCTCTATGTACTTTTTTGATGACTTTTTCTTGCAGGCTGGACCCCATTTCTATAATATGATGCCTAGGGATATAAAGCATCCATCTTAAAAATGGATGCAAATTGGTGGTCCATCTAAAAACAAATGTAATTAATGGTTCAAATTTTTTTTAATATAATTATTTTTTTTAATGTTCAATTTTTTTTAGTTATTTTTTCACATCGATGATCTCCATACTAAAAATTATATATTCTCTAAAAATTAGGATTACATTATATTTATTGCCAAGCCTGCATTTCTACATTATACGAGCTGAGCGCATTGAAATAGTGTCCATTTGTAAACCTTCAAGATCAAGATCAAATTATTAGAACATTCGTACAAACAAACCATTATCATACTTATCTTCGTTATGAAGAATCCTTAATAATGCCTTGTTTCAAGCTTGTATATTCAGCTAACAAAGCTAAATTGCAGACCTTGTACATGTCAAATAGTGAAGGCTCATAATATATTTAAATAAAGTTGGACGAACCCTCACTCCATCACCTTATTTCCCTTACTTTAAACCACATTTGTATTTATGGGATTGTACAGGGGTTTGTCTACATAGAGAGCATTTATCTTTGGGTGTGGTTTGTATAAAGCCGAGGCCCTAAACAATCAAAGTATGTACACTTTCAAATAGTACCAAGAAATGTGGTTTAAATATTGAAAATCTTTGTGATAGCCTTAAAATATATTTTTTATCTCTAATTATAAAAATTTAAAGCTTCAAAAATAGCTTAGATCGAGCAGATCTACGAAAACTTGAAAAATCTCGAAAATTGATTGTCCAAAAATGCATTACAAGATGTATTATTTTCAAAACTTGAAATCCATTTTTTTCTCAAATCCATGCATCTTGAGGTTGAGATGATCAGTTTGAGGATATTTGGGCATCAAAACATCCTCTAGTGAAAACTTTGAGGCGCATCCTAATTTGATTGTTTAAAGACTCACACTTATATAAACTTTTTCCTTTAGTCTTTTGTACATATAGGTGACAACCATTCTTGTCCCTTAAAATCAAAATGGGTTATTATAAGTGTCATTGAATATACACAAAGTTCTAAAAATAAATTCTTGAACTTTGTGACTCACCCCAAGCTATTCAATTTGACACCTTAAGTGGGAATGATTGTAACATCTATATACAAAAGATAAAGGGTATGAAAGCCAATGCTCTAAACACTCAACGTAAAGCGCACTTTCAAATGGCATCGAGAAATGTGGTTTCAATGCTGGAAATCTTTATGATAGACTTAAAAAATAATGCAGATGGAGCAGATTTATGAAAATCTTGAAAATTGACGGTCAAAAAATACATTGTAAGATGCACTATTTTCAAAATTTGAAATCCATTTTTTCTCGTGTCCATGCGTCTTGATGTCGAGATGATCAATTTGCGGATATTTGAGCATCAAACCAACCTTTTCTAGTGAAAATTTTGAGGTGGGCTCTAATTTGATTGTTTAGAGCCTGGCTCTATATAAACTTTTTTTCAAAGATAATGATCTCTTTATAAACTAGGGAAAAGTTGACATAGAGCTGAGGCTCTAAACAATCAAATCAGAGCCTACTTCAAAACTTTCACTAGAAGATGTTGTTTTGATGCCCAAATATCTTCAAATTGATCATCTTGATATCAAGCTGCATGGATATGAGAAAAAAATGGATTTCAAGTTTTGGAAATACTGCATCTTGTAACGCATTTTTTGACCGTCAATTTTCAATATTTTCAAGTTTTCATAGATCTACACTAGTTTTGAAGCTTTAAATTTCATAACTAAAAATGAAAATATAATTTAAGACTATCACAAAAATTTTCAATATTGAAACCATATTTCTCGACATTATTTGATTGTTTAAAACTTCGGCCCCATACAAACCGCACCCGACAAGACAAATTCCATGTTACAACTCTGTACGTTAAACTTCTTAAGAATTTTGGATAGGTTACTTGATTACAAAAAATTCATAATCCATTTGATTTATTTCGATGTCAAGGACATCGGACATACTAGCTCTTAAGACATTGACTCCTTGAACTATTAAAACATATCAACATTATTTTCCCATTAAAATAAATTCATCAACGTCTAAATAAACAAGTAAATTTATCTTTATGTACAATGAATGGTTAGAGGAGAACCTAATGTAACCTTTTCAAGTAATTATTTAGCGAAATTTATGTAGAGGCCAAAATAAACGGCAGTGATATATTTATAATGAGGCCTTAAATGTTTATATTTTTTTATTTCTATTTTACCCCAATTTTGAAAGTCCAAACGTTTAACTAATCAGATCACAAAAAATCTAGCCGCCACTTCCAAACCTGTAACACTTCCCTATTTGATCACGAGAAGTGCTACATGATTTTTGGAAGCCATATCGTCCTTCCATATTAAAATCAATATTGAAAAGTAGAAGTGGTTACTTCCATCAGGGAGAACAGAAGCGACCACTTCCACTCCCTTGGCAAGACACGATTTCCAAAGTTACACTTTGTTAAAATCAAATATGCTTCAAGTATTTGGGCAAAGTGAATGTTTAACTTTTGAACAAGCCAAAACTTAAAAAATAAAAAAAGATATACATTTAGTTTGTTTGAAGGTCAACTTTTGAATAGCTTGAATCAGCAATTTGGCTCAAGCACGGCCACTTTTTTAAGCAAAAAAAGTTTGAACAAGGTCTAAGAACATCAAATTATTTAAAGACGATATATCTGTTAAATTTTATTAAAGTGTGATTTTGGGGTGAACCATTCTGAGTCCCAATTTAGTTAGCAAGTCAAACCAGTCAACCACTAATTCCAAATTGAACAGGGAAAATTGGCATGCCCCTAGATGGGGTTGGGGCATCAATGGTTAGGGA